GTCCTCCGCATATCCACCCATTCAACCATACGCTCCACGCTTTCCCTCTTGCTCGTTGCGTGCACACGTACACCGCGACGCGCGTGCACACCGCGCGCGTGTAATACATACTTACAGGCGCACAGCGCTTTCTGAGCTTTTGAAAGCGTTGCTGCATCGCGAGTCTCCGTGACGCGAATAAATATATTTTCGAAACCGTGGATTCCGATTAAACGCGAGATCTCGTCCGAGGAGAAAGTGTAACGAAGATACGGCGAGAGATAGCGAGAGCCAGTTGGCGGAACGAGCAGGCGTAAGGGTAAGAAACGAGGATCGGAAAATAGGGATCGGTGGAGTGACAGGGAAACCGAGGCTTCGCCGTGGTAAATCCGAGAAAATCGTATAACGCTGCACATCCTCGCGAGCTAGACGCTATTTTATCCCCAGTTCGAGCGATATACCGAGTACCGAATGGTATTCGGATCTCGTCTACGATGACAACGATACACGTCACACCGACTCTCTCATAGACACGCGCGTAGTAATACATCGGAGAGGCAGGCAGCACGGCGGATGATCGATTCGACGGGATAAAAAGCGGAATCACAAAGGATCAACGAGCATCTCACCTCAAAGACGTGTCCCTCCGCTTAAGACGATCCCTGTCAACCGACTTACGTTCACCCTCCGCGTTCGCGAATATTTTATCTAGCTGGTGTGTATCGTCGTCTTTGAAACGTTCGACGAATCCGTGACGACCCACGAGAAACGTATCGTAACGAGGTAAAGAACCAGGAATAACGAACTCCTCGATCGTTTCAGCAGGCGAATTAAAAACGTAACGATCTCGAGCGCGGCTCTTCTGCCTCGTATCCTTTATCGACGCGAAAAACCAGAATATCCCGGGAAATTTTATCGAGAAAGTCGTTATTACGTTAACGATCATGGGAATTTCCATGAAATTGCTTATTAAATCGCTAACTTTTTCACGACGATTTAACGTTGCCGCGGCCATTTGTCTCCGCGGATCGTATCGCCACCCACGCTGTTAATAAAGCAACCCTGTTAGGCTTTACCCGCCAAGCGCAAACTTTCCCTA